CGAGAGCTCTCTGACCCTCCCATAGACAGCAATGGAATTACCACGATCAAGGACCAGAAATGTAGCAAGGAGATCGTTAAAATAATCCATGTGACATCAGTGGTTCAACCTTAATTTTACGAAGCTACGAGAATATTTTTGGTTCGTAAAGAAAACAAAAATAATGACTTTATTCAACAATTCGTCTCCTCCGCATCACCCTATAGCAGGGGTGCCCAACCCTGGTCCTGGAGATCTACCTTCCTGCATGCAGAGTTTAGCTCCAACCCTGATCAAACACACCTGAACCAACTAATTAGGGTCTGAAGGAGCACTTGATAATTACAGACAGGTGTGTTTGTCAGGGTTGGAACTGAACTCTGCAGGAAGGTAGCTCTCCAGGACCAGGGTTGGGCACCCCTGCCCTATAGTGCCATTTTGGAGAGTATCACATACATAAACCACGTATGTTGTTCTGTGTCAGCAGTACTGTACGCGGATACACTATTTACGTTGTTTGCGCTTTGATCTGAACGTTAACAACGTATCCGCATACATACGCTGCATACGTTATTCACATATGTGATACTCTCCAACGAATTGTTGTATAAAATTGTTATTTTTGTTTTGTTTTTTGTGCACAAAAAGTATTCTCATAGCTTCATAAAATTACAGTTGAACCACTAATGTTATGTGGATTATTTTAACGATCTCTTTGCTTCGTTTCTGAGCCTTGATCGTGGTAGGATCCTTGCTGTCTATGGGAGGGTCAGAGAGCTCTCGGAATGCATCAAAAATATCTTAATTTGTGTTATAAACAAATGTCTTACAGATTTGAAACGACATGAGAGTGAGTAATTAATAACAGCATTTTCATTTTTGGGTGAACTATCCCTTTAAGATGCATTTTAGATATAGATCTCTAGCTGAGTCCTGGCTGTTTGTTCTTGTTTGTTTGATTGTCTTAATGAGAGTATTTTTTTCTCTCTACTGAAGGTGTATTGCATGTGTTTGTTGGTGGTTGAAAACAAACACTTCTCTGAGTGTCTCTGATGTTAAAGACCCCAATACATTTTTTGATGACCAAATTTGTCTGTCTTATGACATTTTTCCTATTTGACATTTTTATTATGACATTTTTCCTATTGAAACAGAAAGTCTTGGCAGGATATATCAAATGGCTTGTCCCTTTGTATTTTAATTTGACTTTAATTATGGTATGTCTCAGTCATTAACCGTTATTTTGTACTTGCTGGTTGGTTGCAGGAGAGAGACATTCTCATTCCAAAGAGCATTTGATTGTACAAACGTCTGTGTAGTGCCAGATTACCAATATCTTTGCTTTCTTTCCTGGAAGAGGAATACTGTAAATCCAAATGCTTATTTGTGCTAAATGTGACTAACAGACATGGACTAAAAGCCCCAAAACTCTCATTTTGGTTTCATGGGGTTCTACAATCTATATGTTCAAGTATTGAATGTTTTTTCATATATCTGTAAAAAAAATTAAAAAAAATCTTTAAAGAGTCTGGCACACTCAGAGAATGGTTATAGTGTAACATTCAGTTCAAATAGTGTTTTAGTCTGCTAGGAGTCTGATTAATAACAAGCTAGCTAAGGAAAGGATATTGTGCCTTGCACAATAACACTGCATCATTCTTTCATTCTTATCATCTTACCCTTTATCGTCTCACTCTAGATTTTCTTCTTGTCTTCCCTTTCTCCAAAATAGTTCTGTACTCCCAGCATGCCTATCTTGTTCCATTTATGTTTTAACCCATCTGCAGTATGTTTCCACTCATCTCAACACACACTACACATAAAAGCCTTTTCCTGTAAAGGAATGTATCCTTATGGTATGTTCAATGTGGTAAATGCTGTTGAATCTTACTAAGCATGGTAACACTACAATTTGGAATGTATTTTCCTCTGCTTTTAAATAGCAGTTCACAGATTTCATAGGTGTACAGAACACTCCCGACAGTGTCTGTATACCTTGTAAAGCCACTCATACTGCGCGTGAAGTCTCTGAGCTGCTATTCATTTTGCTGTTTTTGAGTGGTTTGTGCTGGTGTTGGAATCACCTGCTCCAGTCTTCTGTGTGCCTTTGTTTCCTTTGGTTGGGACACTTAACCCACAGAACTCAAGAGAAAACAAGGACCAGCTAGTTCTATATTCAATTAATTGAACTTGTCAGATAAATCTATGAAATAAATTCAAAATAAAGCAGTGGCAGCAATAATATGCATGCATTTGTAGCAGTAAATATTACAAAAGGAGCCCTTAGTCCTGCTGCTCTCACTTTTCATTTCACCTATCATTCTCTATTACTTCTTTCCTGTTTATTCTCTGTAAAAATCACTCTCTTTATGTTTGTCTTGTTTTCCAGTAAAAAATGTAAATAAAGACCCCATCAAATCAAAATTAGAGTTTTGTGGGCTTTAGTCCATATGTGTTAGCTTTGGCACCATCTATATGCTAGTGTACTCTAAACATTGACGTTAAAATTAAAGCAGATATACAGTACGCATTTACAGTTTTTCTATTCTGGGGAAAAATGACCAAAAAGGCTGATGACTCATTCTGCATTTCTGGAATGAAATTTTAAACCGAATCTCACAGAAATTTTAAACTACTGACCAGCAAATAGCAAATTATGGTTCATTGCTGTGACATAACTGAAGCCTTTTCTTCAAACACTTCATCAATATGTCAAATGTCCTAAAATAAAATAAAAAATAAAAGGCAACATGAGAAAATGCATAAAACGTCATTCATCAAACAATGAAATGGGTATTTCACATACACTAAATTTAAAAGCAGTATTGCATCAGATGAAGACTTTTCAGAGAAGTTGTCTTGAATTGCGTCCATTTTTCTTACACAAAACAAAACTTGCTAATGGGGTGAGAAATATGAACAGGATAAATATTAAGAATGTTGGGACATTTTTACTGGAAAATAAGACAAAAATACTGATAAAAATCTGATTTCTGCAGTGTTTCTTCTGCCTTGTTGTTCTCACACTCTTTCACTACCCTTTGTTTTCAGTCCCTTTTCTTTTATCTTAACATTTTTACTGTCTCTCTCGCTCTCTCTCTCTCTCTCTCTCTCTGTCTCTCTCTTTCTCTTCTTACTCTTGCACTTTCCCTTTTTCCATTAGCTTTTTCTGAACCTGACCAAGAGTCTTTCTCTCTCCCTCTCCCTCTCCCTCTCCCTCTCTCTCTCTCTCTCCCCCTCTCCCACCCTCTCTCTCTCTCTCTCTCTCTCT